TTTATTTTAAAATTTTATATTCTTATTATTTAATTATTAAATAGTATGCAATTTGGGGATATAGAGTACATATGAGAAAAAAATTGATAATTAGGTTTATTGAACATTATAAATAAATATTTAAAACTAATGATGAGTGCAAAGGATGGTAAAAATTGATAACTTAGTTTGTAAAAATGAATTTAAATAAATTTACAAAAAATTAAAATAAATGAGTTATAAATGGGTAATTGGGTTACCCAATTCATTTTTTGATTTATCCATTTATACCCATCTAATTAAATGGGTATAAATGGGTTGATTCACTTATACTTATTACCTATTTTACGCAACCCAAACCTGTCCAAATCACTCATTTTGACGCCTCTAGTGTGATGCTAGATAATTCACATGCGCTTGTTTGCAACTGTCTTTTTTAACTCTCGATGCTTTTCATGGGCTCTGATGTGGGGCCAATCGGGACTTGCGAGTCACAGGACCATTGAAACTTGTTTTGATTTGTGTTATTAATAGAACTAGGAGGAGAACACCGCGCGATGCGCGGTGTCATTTTCAAGGTTGCCCAGAAATGCCCAATAATTTAAATTCAAATATTAAGTATGAAAAGTTACAAAAAGATACACCAAAAACTCTGCCATTCTATTTTTGTAGTTTTATTAAGCAGTGAATATGAATATCTATTAAGGAAATGCAAGACAATACAATGAGTAGACCACTAAGATCATTAAGATGCTCCTTGCTTTTGCATAGAATGAAAATAGAAATAAAAAAAGACACATGTAATGGTGGAGAAGGGGGAAAATATAGCTTGAAGGAATACACAAAGCGAGTTGTTAGTTCCTAAAAAAGGCATTTAATAGCTATAAGTTTGTTTTTTATTGATAAAAACCACAAATCAAGTTGTCAGTTCCTAGAAAAGGATATTTAACAGCAATAAGTTTCTTTTACAATATATTCAAACGAATAATAAAATGTATATACATGCAGTATAAAGAGAAAATCTACTTAGCGAGACTAAACCTATACCAGTGCCAATTGAACAAATTGACAAAGAAAAGAAAAAAGTATTTCTAATTGGCCACAAGCAAAATGATTCTAGACTTTCAATGACTAATAGCATCAGAGAGCTCCAACTTCATTCAGACTCTACTCTCGTTCCCATGAAAGGCCGAAAGCAAATACCTATCCAGCAGTGAACAATGGGTTTAGAAAAACTCTCTATAGATGAAACTCCAAGTTAAAAGCTACAGACAAGAAACTATGTCATAAACCAGATTACCAAAAAAATCCTAAAGAAAATATCATAGGAATTTGAATTTCTATGGAACACTTAATTCTAATCAGAAACATCAAACTTTTGAAAAAAAAAACAAAGCAATTTATACCAATCTTATAATAATAGTCCGAAAGTCAAAATAAGCAAATAAATCAGTAAAAGGACAAGACAGTACCTCAAGAGAAACCAAAAGCAATGAGATTTGACAAAATTTCTTGATGATATCAATGCAAATAACCCATAAGCATCTTCACACTTCCAAGTGCACGAGAGGTAATTTAATGTTTATAAACAAAAGAAAAGGAATATCTCAAGAACCGAAAAAGCAACAAAGACAATCTTAACCAAAGGCAGCAAGAATAATTAAACCCAGCAGGATAATGCAGCATTAGTGGAACAGTTCAATCAAATAAAACTTAGATCTTCAGACATATTCAAAGTGTAATACATTTGAAATTATTCTACCTAAAGCAATAGTAGAAATCCAATTTTACTTTCAAGCTCTTACTATCTATAATGAGTCGATCAAAATCCAATTTTTCAATCATTCTAATAACTAATTCTACAACCATAAATGCAACTCACACAAAACTTTTCCAAAAAAAAAAAAAATCGCTTAGGACTATGTAATTTTATTATTTCTTCTTTCTTTTTTGCTTCAGAATCAATAATAGAAAGTCAAAAATAAAAAAAAAAGGCAAACAAGAAAGAAACTTAGAAAACTGCTCAAGTTACAAAGAAAAAATAACAGAAAAAACTTGCAGCATTGAATCAAACTAAAGATTTGTTCTTTCCCTTCATTTGCTTCACCTCATTTTCATTTCAAAAACTCAGATAAAAATATATTTGGAACTAAAATAAAACCTTACAAAAACTGCTTAAATTAAAATTAAAAAGAAACTTATAGACCTGATTAGGCTGAAGATCCATACTTTTCTCTTCATCTGCTTATGCTTCTTCTCATTTTCTCCTTCTAATCAGGGGAAAAATTAAACAAAAAAAATACTTACAGAACCAGCCTAAATTTCACAAAAAAAGTGAAAACAAAAGCATACATGTTCCGATGAAGATCCATTTTTCCCCTCCCTGCTTCTTTTCATGGCTTCTTTTTTTTGTCCCATTTCTCCTGCTGTTTAAAATGGGAACCTGAACATAATCAAAGCAAGGCCATTAGAAATTTTTTTCAATTGTGAGAAGCTAATACAAAGAAAAATCAAAGATTCCTTAATCTTGCCTTCAAACCAAATTGTTCCATTTTCACCAAAATTATGCATGAATCTAGTTTCTCATTTTCATGAAGCTCTATTTGTACTCTCAAAAGATTCCATTTAACCATTTAATGGTGAGATGAGGAATAAATCCCGTAAAGTAAATTTCACAAATTTAAATATGTAAACAAATCGTTATAATTTACAAAATAAGCAATCTTGGCAATGGTGATTCGATGCACACCACAAATGTCCACTACCTAAGGCATGACAATGTGTATGTCAGACCACAAATGTCCACTACCTAAGGCAAGACAATGTGTATGTCAGACGTATCCATATGCTATCTTATCCAAACAATATAGACAGTCTAAATGAGCAAGAAATATAGAGTAAACCTCTTGAATGCTCTTGGATGGCAATAATTCTTAAAAGTTTTCTTACAATAACATCATAATGGTCAACAACAAATTCAGTAAATGTTAAGTTTCGTGTAGTCGTATACCCCCCTAATGCTTAAAAGTAAGAATTAACCACCATTTTTTCTTTCTTCCCTCTCTTGACAAAAATTTGAGCAGAAAACCATAGAGCAAATCAATACATATATGAAGAGTAAAGCGTACAAAATATTGTGCACTTAAACATTTTTTCCTCAGTAAAATTTGAATAATTCTTCACGTTTCTTGCTGTAATAAAAGATACTTAAATAAAATAAGAGACCTAAAAAACCTTCTGTAGCAAACAAAGTAGTATTTATGATTCCAATACAATGAATTAATGGTATGCAAATAGCAAAGGACTGAAAGGCTGAAATTAAGAATAAACCATCTAATAATGACCATGCTCAACACAAAAGCAAGATAAAAAAAATAAGAAAGGACCGCATTTTTAACTTACAAAGTTTGTTATTCCATGAACTGGTTTCAGAGTGACTGCATCTTCAATCATTTGCACCTTTAACATGAACAAAGTAAATTAATAACATAAACGAATAAAAAAATTAATAACATAACCAAAAGTTAAATAAAAAGAAGATGACCGTAGAAAATAGGATCTAAATGCAAAGTAATCCTAACATCTTTTTGTTATTTTAGCTGCAAAAAATTCTCTTTACCTTTTCAAGAACTATAAAGAATTTGGAAAGACCAACATATTACCACACCAAACTTTTAATTGCCATAAACATTGAAATCATTTTCACGAAAGGTAAAGTCTAAATAAGCAAGAAACATGTAGTAAACCACTTAAATGGCAGTAGATGGTAAGAAATTTCTCTGCAATAACAAGCTAATACTCAATCTGCCATATTTACTTTATATTCACTTTGTATTCTCAAAATGTTATCCCCATGAACTCAAACCAATATTCTAGGAACAAAATAAACAAAAATTTAACCAAAAAATGGTATTCTTGTAAAACTAAAATAAAAGGTACTCGTGTAAAAGAAGAAGGGCAGGCAAGATTAATGCATATACAAATATCTAGGGAACATGTACTTAAAACGACTATCTCAACTAATGGCTCCTTGATCAGTTTCAGTGCTTTTATCAGCAACTAAGAAAACACAAAAGTATTTTTTTTCTTTTGTTTTAAAGGATTCATATACACTATTCGGAAAATGAGAACCAAAACTTCACAAGGGAAAAAAAATAAGAAAAATAGTTTTCTCAAAAATAAAGACACAAAAAAATAACTAAAATTTCTAACAGTCATTGACATGAAATTTGATCTCCGCAAATGGAGACTTTGGGTTGGTTACCATATGGATCGTCTTTTGTGAGTCAATAATTGAATGTACTCCTGAACATAACAAACCAAAAAAAAAAAAAAAAAAAGCCCATCAGATGAGCCATGAAAACTCCATTTTCCAGAGTTTCTGGACAACCTTTTCCTTCAGTTTCTCTACCAAGTAATTTTTCCATCTATAATAAATATCATACAAGTTTGTATAGGGGGCTCTAGAGACCTAAAAGAAAGAAACAAGTACATAGAAACTACTTAAAAAAAGAGTACAAAAGTTAAAAAAATGAAAAAATAAAATAGAGAAAACCTGAGATGAAGAAGGACGAAACCCAAGGAAGCAAAATTGCCCGCAATGTTTCTCGGTGATGATCTTCTCTTGGCTGCATCTGTCTTGTGAGAAAGCATGGATAAAGAAATAAGGAACAATATAGGCAAAATTTAGATATTAACCAGGTGAAAATTTTTGGGGAATAAAACCAATAAATATAGAAAGGAAATAAAGATTAAGAGGCAACAACGAACCAGATAGTTTGGAGATAGATTCTCCAAATTTCCTTGCTTTTGGAGCTAAAGAGGATTAAGCAGAGAGAGAGACGATCTGGAGCAACCTTATTATCCTACAAAGAAAAAAAAAACCACAACAAGCCACAATATTAGACAATTAAACCGGAGAACAAAAAGAAAAAAGGCTAGAGAAGTTTAGGCAGGGGAGGAAAGAACAAACCCTTTAAGCAATGAGAATAATCTTCTTGGAGTATTTATATGAAAAATCGTAGGCAAGACACATTGCAAAAGATTTTCCATATCTGAACCTGCAATATCACAATAAATATAAAGTTAGACAAGAAAACCCTCAAAAAAATCTTTTAAAGACTACCGTATAACCACACCAAGCAATAAACAACCTGAAGAAACCAACTGCGTGTAGTTCTCTCTGTGAACTCCTCTATTTCTTTGCCAGTCATAATGCACACAAAAGAAACCAAAAAACAAAATAATCACCAAATGATACCTAATAGTCATAAAATTTTAAAAATGAAAAAGAAAAATTCACAGCTAAGAAATATCTACAAAATAACAGGAAGCTAACCTTAAAAGTCACTCGATTACCATGCAAATGCTTAATTTCTTTTCGTTTCCCCTCCAGATTTGACATACTTTTTTTGGGTTGATCTTGGTAGTCAAAGTGAAAGCATTGGGAGAGAGTTAACTGCAAAAGGAAAAATTAGGGAAAGCAGAATCCACCAATAATATTTATTGACGAAGAAGAACTTGCAAGAGAAATCTAGCAGATCTGGACGCTACTCGGAAAAGATTGCGAAAATGAGAAGAAGTGTAATTGATCGTCTGGAGAGAGGGATGGAAGATCACACAATAAAGTACAAAAAAAAGGATAAAATTGAGGAAACTTGTTCACTCAGCATAACTATTTGTCAAAAGACGAGAGAAGAAAAGGTGGGAATAGATTGATTGGAGTGGTTACCTTGAGCCCCGTAAATTGAAGTGGTCATGATCCCATCAAAAAAGTATTCAGAAGACACACACACACATGGAGAGCCAAAGAAATGGTATTTGAAACAAATTTAATCAAAACTCCTCGGACAACAAGAAGAATTCCACCTCTTCTCCTACCGAAAGCACATGACTTCCACGTGATTGACGACCACCATCCAGCCAATAAAACCCAGCCACGTCAGCACAACAACCACCAACCTTAACAATCCCATTCGCTCTTTTACTATATAGGTTGATAAGGAAACCAAATAGAAATAAAAAAAAATGAAAATAGGGAGAAAAAGAACCAGATGTGCGATGTCTAGAAAAGTTCGCAGTATGACCGGCGGCTGCAGCAAGGAAGAATGAAAGGCTGGAAAGTTGCCTTTTAAAGAGGAATTAAAAGAATTGACTTTTACATTCATGCCCAAATCTTTGCTGGTATTTTGTTTTGAGCCTTACTTTTAAGAAATTATAAATCTAACCATAAATGGTTTTCACATTATATTTTTAACCTCAATTTGTACAGTTTTGTGAAATGGAGTCTTTGTATTATTTATAAATTCACCAACTATACCAAATCTAGCAATATTTTTTATGCTATTTTATTTTGTATATAATTAAAATATATTTATGACATCATTATGATGTCATCCAATTAGATCTTTATTCAATAGGTTGAATCTATTTACCCCTAAACTCAATCGAATTACTATCTAGTGCGAGTTTGAAAACATAGCAATTAACACCATCTGAACTTTTGGCCCTAGATAGTGCTACGTAAAGCTGGTCATGAGAAAATACTAGCTCATGAAGATAGGTTCCTATGTAGTGAAGAGTTTGACTTGGGCTTTATTTATAGTCATGGAAAAATGAAGCCTAACAGAAAACTGGATCCTTTTGAAAGGAATTCCATTTTTTTGGCCATCTTGAGTTTGCAGAGGAATTTTTGGAAGAAATACTTTCTTTCCTTTATATTGGCCTACAACTATTTCGGCACAAAGAGTATGTCTTCTCAACTCTCTACATATAAGCCTCATTCCATTTTAGAGCCCTTTAGTTGGAGCAAGGTTTCTAATGAGAATGTTAGGACAATTCTGTGAGGACTCGAAAATTATTTTTACATTTTCTCCTATTTTTGAAAAATTAATTTATAGTTTCTTTTAATTTTACTTTATTTGCTTATTTGTTAGCTTTAATTTGATAGTGATTTTAAAGATTAAGTTAAGATTTTATCATTCCCTTTTTTATATTTTAGTGTATGTTAAGTTTCGTAGAGTACTATGGTAGTTAGACCGACTAGTGAGATGTGTGCGTTAAATTTCGTGGACGAGATCGAATGTGGTACTAGAGGAATTATGTGATTAGAAGTATTAAAAGTGTATTAGAGAAACCCTAGATACTTTGGAGATTAGAAACACAAGAGAGACAAAGAGATAGGTTTGAATCATGTGATGCCATTTGTCACTCATCCTTCAAATTTTGACTAAGACCCTTTGACCCAGACTTCTTCTATTAGTTATCTTGCAATTTAGCCAACATTTCCTCCATTTTACGTCACCTTGGCCTAAATTCTAGGGAAAGAAAAGAGAGAAAAACTTCCAAAAATTCCATCTTGATTTCTTGCTTGATTCTTGAGAAAATCAACGTGAAACTTGAATCCACTCCGATCAATCTTGGGCAAAGCTTGAAGGTGAACTTGGTGGAGCTTTTGAGAGGAAGAAAGTTCTTGTCTTGCAACTTATTTTGGGGGTTTTGAGGTATTACACTAAGAACCTCTCTTTTTCCATCTTATTTTGCCATTTAAGCAACAAATGACTTGATTATGACGGATTTTATGGAAGATTTCATGATTTTGCTTTCGAGGTTGTAATTTTCAGCTTTGAAATGTATTAGAAGCTTTGTTATGAGGTTGGATATGAAATTTTAGCTTTGGTATGAGATTATCTAGCTCCTATATTCGAATTTCCAACTTTAGGGTTAATTTCCAACTTTGCTATGTTAATTTGCACCCTTGGAATGCCAATTCTAGCTTTGGTGTAAGTGATTTAGAACTTGATATATATGTTTAAAGTTGATAGTTTTGTGGCCTTGATTGATGTTCATTTACTATGAAACTAAGGTTTGACTTGGATGGTTAACTTGAAGAAAAATGGAGACATATTGCTGGATTTTTTCTCCTTATTGGTCAAGTGAGGGTTGAGGTGTGAACTTAGGGCATATTGTCTTCCTCTTGCATATGATTTTACTCAAAGCACTTGCTACAAGCTATTTCTTTGCATGTGTGTTAGTTTTGAGCCAAAACAAAGAAGTTTGAGAAGGGAAAAACTAGTTTTCCAAACTAATAGTTTGCAGGAAAATTTTCACAGGAAGCCCTACGCAGCTTTGGGAAATTGGCTATAACTTCGTATAGGAAAGTCGGAATTGAGTTTCGTTTATTGCGTTTGAAACTAGACTCATAGGGCTTTCAACGATATAACAATTAGGGTTTGGTTAAACTCCTATAAATACCAACAAATCTGCAAAGTTTCTTAAAAACCATCACTATTCTATTTTTGCACATGAGACAGTAGTGAGTTTGAACTGAAATTTAACTAACCTATGAGTTGAATTTTGTGAGGACTCGTAAAAAAAAATTATTATTTTTCGACTCCTATTTTTGCTCATTTAATTATTTATTTGAATATTTGCTTCGATTATTATTTTCTAACCTTATTAGACTTAAATACATGGAATTATGACTTCATTATAATTTTAAAGTGACTCGTTTCAAAAATTAATTTTTGGAAGCTCGATTAATGTAAATAGTGAAAACGTGTCTGAAAACTTTAGCCAATTGGAAGTACAATAAGCTCGGAAATTTGGAGACATGTACAATGGTCCTAAAATAGTTAATTTTAGATTTAAGTACTAAAGTGATAGTTAGTGGTACGATCGTTACAAGAATTTCTTGAAGGTTTCACTTTATCGCGCCTAAATTGGAAATACGCGTTTTCACGCGCGCGCTTAAATGAGGGACTTTGGACCATTATTTTGGGACAATTAAGAGAGAATAATATTTGTATGAATATAAGTGTACTAGAGGTTTAGTGCACTAGTGAAACAAATGCGAGAGAAATCGAGCACCAAACGTGCTCTATGCACACTATTCTCAGTTGACTTTGGAGTGATTTTGCACCACACATTGTATCTTCCTTAGGAAGCCAAAATTAGATCAAACACACTCTCTCCTAGTCTCTCTCTTGGCCGAACCATCAGCTGTAAAATACAACACAAAAGTTGCCATTTTTCATCTTCAATTCTTGCACCAAACCTTCATAGATTCACACCAAAATTGAAGACCACCTAGCTTGTCACTTGGGGAGTTCATTCAGCTTCAAAAGGAGGAGCTTTCCACGGTTTTCTTGGAGCTTTTAAGGACCGAAATTTCTGCCTTGGACACCAACTAGAGTAAGTAATGATCAAGCCTTCTAGTTTTGATTTATGGAAGTTCTAGTATACCTTAAGCTCTTGTATTCATATGGGTGGTTGTTGTTGTTGAAAAATTTGGAAGGTGGGCTCTATGAACTCCCACCTTTGTCTTGATGGCTGATGTGATGCTTGATGATAGATTTAATGTTGGTTTAGTGCTCAAATGGTAGATTAATGGTGTATTATTAGTATAAACTTCAAGAAGTGCATGGGGTAAAAAGTTTCGATTCTGCCCTTCCTTTGAACGTACCTATTTCTGCCGAATTTTGAGGTTGTAATGACTTATATATGATGTTTATATGTTGTATAGATGGTGTATGAAATTTCATTGAAAAATATTGAGGTTTGGTTGGTCAAATGAATTGATTTCACAAAGTTAGTAAACCTGGAATTCTTCCCGAAATGCTCAGACCAGCTTTTTTGTTTCGTCCATAACTCTGTGCTCCGATGTCGAAATCGAGTGTCGTCAGTGGCATTTGAAACTAGACCTTCCCACCTTTCCAACGGTATAAAATGTATGTTCTGGTTCCATGAATGTGAGCCGAACCAACCATTTAAAGTCGGCTGTTCTGTTTCTCTGTTTTCCTGGAACGAAATGCTGAGGCTGCAACTTGTGGCTCGAATTCGAGCTAGATGTGTGCTGAATTTCAAAATGATTTCTTCTGTGAAATTATAGCTCCACGAATTTTTTTTCTAACTCCATAAACCATGTTCAATTCCGAGTTAAGTTGAGTGATTTGTGATCAAAATACGGAACCTGCCCTGCTCTTGAAAACCCTAACTTTTGGACAGATTTGATGCAAGGTTTGGTGTAGACTTGCTAATTGAATTTTGTTTGGTGCTAAACACTTACCAAATGTACCATGAATGTTCCTTAGGCTTTGCCTACCCTAATGAGCCATGTTTAAGGAATTTTTCCTTGACCAAATGTTTGGAATGGAAAACAAAAGGCTCAAGGCAGTTTTGCCTTAGGATTTTCGAAATTTTAGTTGTTGGGTTGACTAGCTTCCCGAATGTATTTTTCCATGAAATTTGATAGAGGGATACTCTTTATATAGGAGTATTATACTACCAAATTTTGTACCAATCCAAGTCCATTTCGATACCTAACTAAAGTCCCAAAGTCGGAAACTCAAATCTGGAAATTTGTTCAACAGTTTCGAAACTTCCCAAACTTTGAGCA